AGTTTCTAGATGAAAGTGATAAATGATAAATCATTATTCATGTATTTGTCAAAGTTTATAAAGTTAAAAATAATGATGTAAGGCTTATCCAAAAAATTTTAAAAAGAAACTAAAAAGAAATTGTTAGAAATTTTTTTTTGGGACCTCAAATAAAATTTATATTTGCATAAATTAAAAAAATTAACAAAGATTACTCTTTTCAATCATATAAAGTTCATCTATAAAAACAAAATGTAATTTGGAAGAGTTTAGTCACGATTCCAAGTTATTATCCTCTTTCATCCCAAGGGCAGATATAACAGCCTCAAGTTCCAGCATTTTGTTGTGCACTTTCGTCGAATGTTTAGAATCCATTAGCTCTAGATGAGCTTTTGAAAAAAAATGCACAATCACTGTATCTTAAAGCTTTCTTTTTCAATAAATGGCAAAAAAATCTATCAAGATTTGATGTACTTCCTTCAGCCAATTTGTTTAGGAGTTGTTTGTTGCAATTAATTAAAATTTTGAAGTATTTGATTTTTTGTTAAAAAATTGAGTTTATTTGTTTCATGTTTGGTTAAATTACTTTTGGTGATGGTAAGTGGCTGATCGCGGTGGACAACACAGCAGGTGGTGATTGATGGTATCTAGAATCAGTAGAGAAGGAGAGCAACATATAGTAATGATGGAAGTTGGCATCGACAGTAGCGGGAGGATGGTCAGAGGTGTCAGCTAGGGCTGAAGGCGAGCGACAGTTAGCAGTGGTCATTAGCAATGGCAACGTAGGGTTGTGCTTAAAATAAGTTGTGCCTTTGAAACTCTTCCAAATAGAACGAATTTCAAATACATTGAAAATAAACTCAAAAGGGAAATCCAAATAGATTGAAAGTTTACCTTAACTTTTGTTTGCTTCCGGCTAAACAAAAAAAATTCAAAATTCATGCATTTCATTAGCACCTTATTGGTAACAACTTGCAACCAAATAGACCCTTTGCTGTTAGTGAGCTACATTTAAGACTTCACTTAAATAACAACCATCAACACTTAAGTATAGAAGAATGAGAGCCATCAAAAAATATTCAACAAATAAAATTGCCTTAGGCCGTGGTTCAACATCAGCTCAAATATCCAATGGAAAGTGTTACTTGAATCAATTAATCACAAAGGTAACTCGTTGTTAGCATTGAGAACTGATGCGTCATCTTGAAATTATTATCATCTAGCACGAATTTCAATACATTTTTAAATAATAAATATTTTATAATCAAATTCAAATTGAAGATAATCTGGGCCATGATTTCAACATGTTTATAGTGAAACTGACTATCTCGATGTGACAAGCTTGGAAACTCTAAAATTAGGTCATTTTTTGTTCAATCAAGCTTGGATCAAGCTATTGAAACATAATTGGAGGCTTTAGATCATTAATTTAAGCTTCAAATTAAATTCAAAATTTGATATATTTATATTCAAATAGAGCATTTCGATGAGAGGAATCTAACCAGCATAAGATCACACAATTCAGTAGTCATTAAAGCACCCAAATCCTTAAAAATCATCTTTGATTGAGAGACACGGACCGTCTGATTAGATAATTAGGGAAGTTATGCTCCAAAAGACCAAATTAACCGGGCGAGGGGCGAGGAAGAGAAGAAGAAGTAGTGAAACTCCAAATCATGTTCTGGAGAAGACTTGATGGGTAACACCAACCACCCTAACTGTCATTCATCATCGACCACAGTTCATCAGTCACCATCAACCACTTCCCGCTGTAACTACCTATCATCTTTGACCACTGACCATCAACAACCACCGCTTGCAACTATTGCATTCAAACTATGGCATTTGTGGTCAACTAATACTATTATAATTTCCACCACAACCTCATTCTACCCCACTAACTCTACAAGCCACTCCACTACTTCATTTAAACCTGTCGTTACTCCTCCTACACCACTCCAAGTCACGAGAAATATTTGCGTACGTAAGACGTACGTAGAATTGCGTACATATTAGGTTATTAGGAGGGTACATGTAGGTTACATTTAGGTTATACCCCTTGTAATTCTTCATGCAACTTAAGTGCAACCTACCTGTACCCTTCAAATAACCTAATATATACGCAACTCTACATATGTCTTACGAACGCAAATATTTCTCCCAATTCACGCCCCAATCGATTCTCATTCTCCCTCTCTTGATTCCAAGTGAAATTCTTCCTAAATTTCTTAATTTCTTCTCAATACAAGAGCACCAAGGTGTTTTTCTAAAGCAAACCGAGGGCATTAAGGAGGGATTCGATATACAATTCATGGCAAGCAATCTGAATTCTTAAATTTAAAGGATAAGATATAATTCCATAAACTTTCTTCTTAAATCTGAGAGCTTTTGTTTCTCTCACATTCCATTGCACATTCTATACATTTTCACTTGAAAATCAATAAAATTTCATGAAGTTTTTGTTAAAATTGAGAACATCCTTGCATAGAATCATAGGGATTTCATTTCTATTACATTTTTTATTTGTTCTAGTAATGTTACAATGCAAATTCAATATGTTTCCATGCAATTTAAGTTAAAATTGAAATATTTTATGCAAATTCCATAGTGCTTCCAATCCCAATGAATTTTATAGTATGTGTTTGATATTAATACATGAAATTGAAAAGTTTGCACACTAAATTGAACCAAACCAAAACATTCTTGTATGGATTTATAAAGTTTTATTCTAATCCTATCGGTATATTGTTTAATTGATATTGTTATGCAAATTTATCATGTTTTACATTCAACTCGACCCAAATCACAAATAAAAATCAATATAACCATAGGATTGATGTGCTCCATGTTCACTTTACTATAAACTAAAATATACATGTGTTTTTAGTAAAATTATTTATTTATATACATTCAACTATATATATTTATGTATATTATTTTGAAATTTGTAAATGTATGTTTGCATAAGTTTATGAAAGATAGAAGTCTTTCGAGATCTATGGTTGACCCAATCAAAAAAAATATCCCACCAAAGATGAATGTTCTTTATACTATTATCACAGGATCTCAAATATTAACAACGTAAAAATCTATAGAAAGTCTATTTGTTGTTTTGGTTGCCAAAACAAACAGTTCATGCAATAATATTCCTAAGGACGTATATGTCTTGCTACAACAATTTGATGAAGTTGTGCATGTTGATTTACCAAATCAGTTGTCACCAGAACATGAAATTCAACATCAGATGGATTTCATGCATAGATTTGTTATCTAATCAACCTCAATATAAATTACATAACTAAAGGAATATCGGGTTTTGCAAGAAATAATACAAGAGTTGCTAAGGAAACAACTGATCCAACCGAGCCTCAACCCTTGTGTCGTGCCTGCACTCATTGTTCCAAAATAATATGGTACATGGAGGCTATTTATATACAGTAGAGCAATTCAAAAAATCACAATTAAATTTTGATTTCCCAAGCCAAGGTTAGATGAACTCTTACACAAATTAAATGGATCCACTATTTTCTTTAAACTCGATGAAGTGGCTACCATCAAATTCAAATCTGTGAAGGAGATGAATGGAAGACTGCTTTCAAAACGCATGAAGGCGTCTATGGGTAGCCAGCATGCCCTTTGGATTGTGTTACACACCAAGTACATTCATGAGATTAATGTACTTAAACATTTCATTGGAGACTTTTGTGCAGCTTATTTTGATGACATTCTAATGTATAGTTCCCCATGATAGCTCATATATATAATCTAAGACTGATTTTATCGATCTTGAAAGACCATAAGCTGTTTCTTAACCGGCCTAAATGTGCCTTTGCAATGGAAGATGTATACTTCTTTGGTTTCATTGTTTCCAATCATTGAGTTAAAACAAATCCATGTAAGGTGAAAGCCATTCTATCCTTGCCAAAGCCAACATGTACAATGAAGTTAAGAGGTTCCACGGGCTACCCAAATTTTATCACAAACTTATTTGAAATTTTAGTTTAATAATATCTCAGATAATTAACTGTTCAATTAGTACGATAAGAAGTTCAAATATCATTTACTTGGATCCATTTTAAATTAAAATACATTCTAAATAAATATTACAAATAATTTGATTGACTTCCTTCTTTGCAGCTTCTACTAATTTGAGATAATTAAGCATATAACATTCAATTTGTATCTATTTGCAAACATAGCATGCATATCATTCTTATGAACTATCAAATTGAGTATTTACGTGTGCCATTTCAAATTGTTGGTATTTTTGCACTGGTGAAAAAGCACAAATTTAATTTTATTGTGAATTTCAAAAATTAATGAAAATTAAAAATTTAAGAGATGTTAATCTTATAAATAGTCAAATTCGAATTCTTAAAGTAAATTATTGAAAATATTCTTTTTTCTAAAATCTTAAGCTACACAAGCAACATAACTAATTTTAATATGCTAGTTGGGAGCGCATGCGACCAACAAAGAGGCAGAGGTCATGAGTTTCAACTCTGGCATACATATTTGAGAAAATTTTATATTGGACACCGCACGTCTGGACGGTCAACCGCCGGGCACCAACTCGCCTTACATGTCGGCGACATGATGCCTAGCTGTTGACCGTTCTGACATGCGGATGTAATATTTTTTAGTCCAATATGTTTCGGTAGAATCTAAAAGCATTTAGCCTTTTGGTTTGAAACAACCGCAACACTTGATTTATAAATAGCAATGTTTGTTGTGCTCTGCATGTAACTATTATTTATTTATTTATTTTAAGTTGAGCAATTTGGTTATTTCGCCAAATAAAATTGTTTACAGGCTTCAATGTTCACTCCGAGTAAAGAGAACTTTCCCTTTTCTTTCAAACTAAAGCCTTTAACTACAAGAAAACGTACCTAAATAAGTAATTACTGGACGGCATAAATTGAAAAATATAAAGATCCATAATTCTAATATTTATCATTATTCCATCACCATAAAATATAAAAATATATAAAAGTCGATAAGCAAAAAAAATATTATCAGATTAAATAATTGTTATATACTATTATGCTCATTAGCTTAACAAAGCTCCAAAATAAATCCGAATCCTAAGAAAGAATAGTGTGTTGATGAGGAGAAAAATTTGCTTACGCAAAACGTACGCAGAACTGTAACGTCGGAGGTTATTGAGAAGATATTAAGAGATTATAGATAGGTTACACTTCTGTAACATCTCTGTAATATAACCTACGGCAGATGCATGCCTGAGCAAATTTTTCTGGTAGATGAAATAGGCGAACCCAAATTCCTACAACATAAAGGCCGCCGCGACTGCCGCCGCCGCCATTGTCGTCCCCACCGCTCTCAACGCCGCCGCTACCGAAACTCCACCGCTCGTCTCCGAGCTACTTCTCCCCTTGGTTTCCACTACAGAATTCGGATTCCCGCCATACAGCCCCTGAATCCCCTTCACATCATCCCCCATCAACTCCACCTTCCTTGTCCTCGTCTTCAACGACGGATACATCACCGCCTCCGCAACCGACGAGTGCCCTAACCCTAACAAATGCCCAATTTCATGTACAGCCACCGATTCCAAATCCACCGCGTACCCATCCTCCGACGCCGTAACATCCCCTCTCGCCACCCAATGCTCCGCTGCGTCCAGATGGAACCTACCGTCCGTCGGCGAGAAGGCGTGCGCGAGCGTCCCCAATACCCCATCGAAAGCCTCCCCGTCGCCGTGATCTCCGCCGTAAAACCCTATGGTTATGTCGGCGTTATCGGAATCCGGCGGGGAAATTTCCGTGAAATTAAGCGTGGTGGCGTTGGACCAGCGGGCGAAGGCACGAGCGAAGACGGCTTGAAGGGTCGGTTTATCGATGGAGACGGAGGAGGTGGTGGTGAAGGTGTAGGTGAGGGTGCGTTTGTCTGAGGGCCAGGAAGGGGTTCCGGCGAAGTAGGAGTAGAGATGGCGGCCGCGGAGGGTGGAATTGGGGGTGATGTCGGGGAGGCCGCAGCGGGGGAGGGAGAGGAGGGAGAGGGTTTCGGTGTCAAGAGAGCCGGTGGGAGGGAGGCCGAGATTGTGCTGGTAGGAGAGGAGGGCGGCTGAGAGATCGGAGTCGAAGAGGTCGGAGAAGTTGGAGGGAGGGGAAGGGAGGTAGCCGAAGCGGTGGAGGTAGGATTTGAGGTTGGGGAGGAGGGGGTTGTAGTCGCCGGGGTTACAGCCGGTGAGGTTTTGGAAGAAGCTCCATGGGTTGGAAGGGAAGGAGGAGGACGGAGGCGTGAAACAGAGGAGGAGAAAGGTTGTGGTTAGGAGTGTTGTGAAAGGCATGAATGCTATTTGGGAATTGGGGGAGATTAGGATGAGATAAAAATGTATGTTTTGTTTTAAGAGATTTATTGATATTGGTTTTAAAGGATAGTTAGCACTTGGAGCTTTAGGTAGGAGGGATGGATTATTTCAAAGTTATACAGCCCTTGGGTCAAATAGGAGATTTGGTCTTCTCTTTGAGCTTCTGATTGGTAAAAGGAGTTAGAATCTAAGAGAGAAGAATTCCTTGCACAAGGGGGTTGGTGTTTAGGTGCAACTAGATTTTAAATCATAAATTCATTAAATTTATTTTTTCCTTTCTATACATTTTGCTGCTTTAAATCTGAAAATTCATGAAACTCCTCCATATTTGTGTTTGGTTGGACTACATAAATCAGGTACTAATCCTATTCCAATGTACTGTCGAACAACTCCTAAAGGAGTTTTATATCACTATTTATTTTTACGACAAAGAAAGAAAAGAGAAAAAATCACGAAATTTTTTGTTTTCCTAAATTCATAATGCAATTTTGTATTTTTTTTTTATATTTTCAAATATTTTATTTTCTTCATGCCAAACAAGGTAGATGCATCCATTTTCCCATTGGGAACTTTCAGACTTTCAGTTTGATTTATCACGTTAAACATGAAGCTGGTTGGGTGGTTATGGATGGATTCAGCTTAAAAATCATGCCAGTTGGATGAAAAGTCGCCAATATTAAGTAGGGGCTTTTAATTTGATTCAGTTGTGCAGGACATGAAACTAGTTGGGTGAATGCTAAAGAAATCTGTTAAGAAAATGGAAACTTATGTCTCCATCAATTTTAATAAAAGATATTATAAAAAAAATTCTTAAAATATAATAGAAAACATAATGAATCTTAATAAGTATTTTTATTTCTTTTTAAATTTAAACATATTTTATAAATTTAATTTTTTCTTTTTATTTAAACAAAAATGTATTATTTTCTTTTTTTAACATAAATGAGTTTATTAAGCCCATTTAGTTAGGGCTTGTTTGGGATTAATTTTGTTTTTTATTTTATCCTTAATTTTTAAAAATATGTTTGTTTAATCTGTTTTAAATACTTTTTTTTTATTTTTTTCAAAAAACAAATAAATATATTTTTGAAAACACTCAAAATAATATATAGGTGTTTTAAGTGTATATTAATTAAATATATCAAACATATTTATTTCAAATCAAAATAAAGAGAAAATAAAATTAAAATAAGAAAATAAAAAACAAAAAACCAAAGAGTCATCCCATACTTTTATTTTTTGTTTTCTATTTTTTATGTTTATTTTTTTATTTAGATTTTGGTATAAAACAACATGTGTTTGGTATATTTGATATTATTGTTTTTTAGTGTTTTCAAAAACATGTCTATTTTTTATATATATTAAAAACATATTAAATAAATATGTTTTTAAAAATTTAAAAAATAAATTAAACCCAAAAAGTCCTTAAATATGGACGTTATGATAGCAACATTTTTATTTTCGAGTTGATATGAGCTATAGAAAAAATTTTGAGGCAGCGAAAAATCAATTAGAAGGCAGACGACATCTTCGTCGTCTATTTTTGACCAATAGTTCATTAGGATCTCTAAGCTAAAAAGTCTTCGCTTATAGGTAGCAAGCAAATTATAAAAGAAAACTGAGACCTTTATTTCAATGGATGAACTTTCCATGAAGGAGCTACTCATCCTCAAGTCCTGCACGGGAATCACAATGTTCAGCTTATAATGGAACAAATATGCATAAATATAAACTTTATGATTAACATTTTTTAAATTTTCAAACTTTTTAAATACGGGTTATAGCTTGCGTGGTAATTTAGATTACACCCTTTATTTAAAAACAAAGTTACGTCAAGCTTATAATTAGATAATTAATGTTTGGTAAAATTTAGTTGGATTAATACACACGGGATGAATTGGCTCGATGAAGGCCAAAAGACTATGGATCGTCTTCTCGTAGAAATTTTGATGTTGCTCAACTAAAATATGAACAGGTTGATTAATGTGATCCAAGCAGCTCTTCCTCTGCCTGTTTCTTCTTTTTTTTTAAGAGAAATTTTCATACATACCACTCAATTTTCATGTGTTTACATAAGTGGTATGCATGTAAATATGAATGTATACCACTCAAATCTTAATCATTACATCAAAAATATCACATTCACTTTGTTTAAACTGAAATACACCTTTTCATGAGTATTAGATTTATGACACCAAGGTGTTATATATATAAATATCAAATTTTTTGGGTGTTTGATTTGTAAACACATGAGAGAATTTTGTGGGGTTATTGTTTTTAAAGGCCTGCTTTTTTTTTTTTTTTTTTGGCAATTCCATTAGAAAAAGAAGTGCATCTCAATAGAAACTTTGGCTTGAGGGGAAAAGTGGGGAAGCAAGTTTGAAATTTAATGTCACCTAAAGGCGCATATAACGATTAAATCGGGATAACTGAGGCAGCGAGCTAGGAGTTGTTGGCGATAATCCTTGCCGTATCCTGATGCTCAATTGGCAAAGTTATTCTGTAAATTGAAGAAAACTAAATCTTCCATGAAATTATCATGCAGCCTTCTAAATTTTGTTTCCTTATGATTCTTTTGCCAGTTTCAACTATAATTTCAAACAGGTTATCCAGCGTGATAGTATTACTCTTTCCTAAGACTGACTATCATTCATGCTTAAGAGACGAACCAAGTTCTGCCTCCAAAGCTCACTAAAACTCCTACTATTTTGGTAATCTGCAATAGAAAGCTGAGAGCTGTATCCAAAGCTCACTAAAACAGATTATGATGTTTTCTAGCCTGATCTACAGAAGAGTGAGCCAAAAATTATTCAATTCATGCCAAAGATTCACGCGCCTCCAAATTTTAGGATTCCCGTGCTTATTCCATCAATGAATTAAAGCATAAATAGATGGTACATCCTGGACACACAAATCAATTAAGGAGCTTTGCATTAATGAATATAATTAGCTGCAAACACATGTACGATTAGCTACTAAGGGAAAAAAGAAACTTTGGTAAAACATTTTAAGATCGAGCCAGCCATATCTCAGAAGCAAAAAACAGAAATGGCATTGAGAGAACTAGCTATAAAATGAAGTAAGAAAAGACATCTGCATAAATATTATTATTAATTTAATGTAAATGGCGCGTCTTATTGATACAGAAATGATAATTTTCAAACTTTATCAACAAACATTAGGAAATTTCACAGAAGCAATTACATTTGGCAATAGTAGACATGATTACAGCACTGGATATAGGCATAGACCTGTACATTATAGAATATATGGATGGGAATGATTTTGATTTTTGTAAATTCAACCAAGTGAGCTTTAAGACTGTTGGCTACGGGCATGATGAATTTAATGTCAGCAAATTAAGAGGAAGAAGTGCTTCCGTTCCTGACAGCAAGAAAAGAGCAGTTTGTGAAAAGCAGCATTAGATAAAAACAACATGCCTGCTAGATGTCCTCTATAACAGCTCTTTCAATCATCTACAGAAAAATTTAATAAGTCCATACGATATAGAATAATAATTTTGAACTCACTTTCCATTATTGAGGTATTGTGGTGGAGTTATAGGTTTGGCACCACCGTACCAGTCAATCAGGAATATATTCTCAATGTCCAATCTGAAAATTTTGAAGTTGTGACCAATTGGCCAGTCTGCAGCCAAAAAATATGAAAAGGCAGCAAAAATTCAGTAGAAATGACATCGTTGCTGAAAGTTTAAACAAAAAAATTTACATAAAAAGGCATTTTCTTGTCTTTCAGGCGATGGTTGACCAGAATAGTACCTTCCATTTCAGGATGCTTGCTGAAAAGTGCATTCTTTGCAAACTGAATTTCGGCAGATGAATTATCCACCAATTTCAGCTGTATTTTAAGTTGATTACACTTTGTCAGTGTCAAGTGAATTTGCGCAGTGGTGAAATCAACATTTACAGTAACATGGGTAAAGAGTTTATCAAAATTTTGAATGGGTAAACTTTCATACTAAACAACAAAAAAGTTTATAGACGAAGCTGTCATACTACTTATAGAAGAAAAATGCCAAAATAATCCATTGACTATTTACATGAGACCATTTTAGTCCCAAAGAGTGTCAAATTAATCCTCAGAGATTTTTAATATGTGATAAAATAGTTCCCATGGAGGACTGGAGATTGAATTGACATTATAGATCCTGCGACTAAAATAGCTCAGGGGACCAGATTGACATTTTTCTACTATATGTGGTCACAAGTGGACTTATTCAAATGGAGAGGGAAGAGGGCCATCTCCAACCCCTCCATCTTTCTGCCAATGATGAAGCATATAGCATCAAATAATAGCAATATGATGTTAAGTATAATATGATAGAACTTAATGTGTATTTTGCTATAGATTTTATAAACCATCATCAAATGGAACTGTAATGGATCAAGTGGTGGTGTAGCCCAATGAAAAACAGGTAGAAATGAAAATAGACATGAAGAGGGATTTCATTATTATGAAAAAAAATTATACGAGATAAATGGGATTCTCACTCAAAATTATGAGAAATCATTTACTCTGAATCTCTCATCCTTGAGATCTCTCCTAAACCCTTCTACTTGGGAAGTATAACTTAATAAGGTGGTTGGTGGGTCGCACGTGATGATTGGCAAGTCCAATTAAGCTCAAATAAATACTTCATCATGTGCCATGATATTTTTAGCAGAATAATTGTCTAATCATAAGACTTCTAAAACTTTCAGCAAGTTATCTCAAAAGTACTTGTACTCGATTAGAGAAAAATTATTACTAGCAACTCATTCCAACACTAATGCAAGACTTAGACTGTTAGACATATGACACTTTGTATTGTCCACACAATGTTTTAAGAGAGCTGCCAAATATAAACAAAAATTATCACGTATTAGGGGGAAAATGAATGGCATTAGGAAGCCAAGGTGGAAGATAACAAAAAAGAAACATTACAGCAACTCTGAAGCCATTGAAAGAGAAGAGAGAAGAAAACTCATAAAATTAAGCTAAGATCCTAGTAATAAAGTTATATAAAAAATCATCAATAATTTCAAGAGATGAAGTAAAACATACAAACAGATGGTAACGTACACTAGGCTTCCTTAGAACTTCTTGATTTTTTTACTCCAATTATTTTACATCTATCAATCAAGAATCACAGAAATCAGCAAGCTGAATTAGAGGATTCCTATAATTAGAAGCTTCCTTATTTATCCTTAATTAAATTATTTCAAATTTCTCTCTGCTGATTTATTTCTTTTTATTGTACATATTCTTTCCTTATTTAAATTAGAAATCTTTATTAGGAGATTGTACAGACTATTATTTATTGGAATGAAAGCAAAAGAAAAAGGCATTCAACCTATTTGCTCAAAACGTTGACATGGTATCAAAACCACGTCGAATCTTTCCAGTCTAAATCTTTCGTTTTCTTCCCTAGCCTTTGGGAATTGTTCGTCTTCATCTTCGAGCTCATTATATCTTCGTCTTCATCTTCGAGCTCATTATATCTTCGTCGGTTGCTTCCTACGTCTTCGACTGCAAATCACCGAGAGTTTTGTCCGTTTCATCCACTTTTGCATCATCTGAACGCCATCGTCGTCCTCACTAGCCTTCGTTGCTTCTGCGGCATCTTCGACTAGTTCTTTCACTTCGGCTTCATCCGCTTAGTCAGCCTCGACCACTTCGGTTTCATCCAAACGCCATCGTCGTCTTCACTAGCCTTCACTGCTTCTGAGGCATTTTCGGCTGATTCATCGCTCCTTCATCGCCCGCTTCGTCTACTGTGTTCTGCAGCATCTTAGACTGCTTCTTCCGCCTTCGAATACTTCCAACGAGTCTTCCTCAAACTACTTCTTGTGAGTCTTCAACTGCTTCCACTCAAGAATCACCGGCTTCGGCTTCGACTTTGGCTTCTTTGTCGCACTCAAGGATCGTAGGCTTCGGCTTCCGATTCATCTCCTTTGGTCTCGGATCGAATTCAAGGCAGTGCACGACTTTTTGGTTCTCTTTGGTTTTCTTTAGGTTTCTTTGGATTTTTTTGGATCTCTTGGTTTTCTTTAGCTTCATGTTGATTTCGATCAACGATTTTCTTGGAAATCAACTTGTGAGCGACAATTCTTTTTAGAATATCTTTTGAAGTCTTAGCTATCAGATTTAAGGGGAAAGAATTATGCAGCATGAGAATTTCAGTTCAAAATGTTTTTGAAAGGGAAGGAGCTTTAGGGTCATATTGATGGGTCTTCTCCAGCACCTACAGAGCCGAAAGATCTTGGTCAATGGAAGACAAATGAAGCTCGGATTGTTTCTTGGATTTTGGGATCTATTGAGGCTCATATGGTGAACAATTTACGATCCTTTGGCACGACTAAAGAAATGTGAAAAAACTTGAAGCGCGTCTACAATCAAGATAATACTACAAGACGATTTCAATTGGAACTTGATATGAGTAATTATAGTCAATGTAATCTCTCAACTGAACAATATTATTTTGGCTTTCTAAATTTATCGTGCGAATATTCTGGCATTATTTATGTTAAGGTGTCAAAGGAGAGCTTAGCTTGTCTTCAAGCTATTCATAAAGTGAGTTGCCACGATCAGCTTTTGATGAAACTCGGGCCTGAAGAAACTGCTTGGGTTGGGTTGCTGAATAGAGATCTGGTTCCTTATTTGGAGGTATATTTCGGTGAATTACTGGGCGAAGAACAAAGATCGGGGACACAAGCTGCTATCTATACAGTCAATGGATCATCATAAATAATTAATGTTGCATATGCTCCTCAGACCCGAGGGAAAGAAACAAAACAGTGTTACAGCTGCAAAAAATTTGGTCATATTGTTCGTCAATGTAGTAAGAAGTTCTGTAATTATTGCAAGAAAAATAGACATATTATTAAGGAGTGTCCTATACGACCTCCAAACCGCAAACCGCAAACCACAAGCCCTTAATGTTATGGTATCCGACTCTCATAATATTGGTTCAACATCCACAGTTATCGGAAATAATCAATCTGTTCTCATACAAGATATGATTCAACATATGATTCTCTATACCTTTTCTGCTCTTGATCTGCAAAGGAAATGATAAGTTGTCGGGAAAGGTGATAGTGAAAGGGCCTAAAGTGAACAAATTCTCAAACAACTAATATCAGTTTCTTGTTGGCAAATTGTCGTTTCTTGATTAGTCGGCATCAATTTGAGGGGGGATATCAATCAAGAATCACAGAAATCAGACAGTTGAATTAGGAGTTTCCTATAATTATGAGCTTCCTTATTTATCCTTATTTAAATTATTTCCAATTTTCTCTCTTCTGATTTATTTCTTTTAATGGTGCATACTCTCTCCTTATCTAGATTAAGAATATTTATTAGGTTACCTAAAATAGATTGTGCATACTATTATTTATTGGAATGAAAGCAAAGGAAAAAGGCATTCAGCCTATTTGCTCAAAACACTGACAACATTAACTTTTAAATTACCAGCTTCTTTCACGCATAGATCCCAAAAGCCCTAACATTTAGTAGTTAGCAACACAAGCAAAATTTGTAAAATAGTTGAGACCTCCACTACAAAAAACTCAGGCTTGATCACACATAACAGAAGGACAACAAAGAAACATCACAGGAAGTTCCTTTTTATTTTAAAGCTAAGAAAGGGACACCAACACTTGAGGCATCACACCAAAGTGGGGCCCAAAGAAGAGATCATTAAATGAAGTCTTATCACTATATTGCAGAAATGCTAATTTTTGGGACCTGAACCCATAACTCTATATCACAGTGAAGCAAACTAAAATCCCTCAAAGCTCACGCCCTTCAGATAAATTGTATAGCCAAGTTTTTCAAAAAAGTTAGAGCATAATAGAATGATGTATTCCCTCATTTGCTTTATTTATTGTATTCCCTCAGTTAAAATTCTTCTCTAAAGACTATCGTTGAGGAATTTAAGGTGCTGACAAGTGGATTTAATTTAAGAAATATCAATACGCAACACTAGATCACCAGGAAAGGGGTCTACATTGAATATTGAATTTTTGCTATTTAATATTTGATTTGTGTGCGTGAGTGAGCGCGCGCAACACCGGAGTACCAGGAAGGGGGTCTACATTGAATGTTGAATTTTAAGTGTGTGTGTGTTCAAAATCATCACATCATAATATACAGAGAAGTTTTCCAATTCAAAGGGAAAATGAAAACTTTGGATTTCCTGATAAAACAGAATCTGAAAAATTGAAAATAAATCAAAAAGAATAGAAATAACATGTATATAAAACAGAAGCAAGAAGGGAAGATAAAACCCATGCATTTCATGATAAACCAAATCTGAAAAGTGCAAATAAATCATCATGAGAATAAATAACATGTGTATGAACCAGAAATAAGAAGATGTTTCCTCATGTACACCACAACTATGGAAAACCATTAAATTTGACTTGTAAAAAAGCTTTACAACTAAAACATCCATTTAAATTTTATGTATTACAAACCTTTCCAGTTAGCGTAAGCTTAGCACATGTTGGGTTTTCAGGATCCTTTTTGCCACAAGTTCCAAGTGGGTGCTCACTCAAAGTAAAAGATGACCTTGCATCCTTCAAAGCATCTCTTGCTGTAGGGTCTAGCTCTGTTAAATAAAAATATGGAATACCACGCCCATCATCCGGTAATCCATCACTAAATGAAACCACATTTCTGCATACCACAAATAAGAACAAAAATAAAAACACAAACGCAAAACTAAATGAAACAACAATTCAGATAAGAAAGAACGTCCACACTACCCAAAAGGAGATCCTCCTTGATCACTTGAGATTGTGCTGCCACATAGAGAGCATAAAAGTCAGATAAGCACAATTTGTAAAATTTTAGCTAATAAAAGTAAGCATCTAGTAGGAGGACGAAACACTAGTGACCTAAATTGTGCCTAATATAAGAAAAAAACGAATATAGGAACATCCATCAATCAAAAAGCTTAAGCTAATGGGCTATTAGTATGTCGGAACTCTACACTTCTTTCAATATTGATGTTAAAACAATATTATTTTTTCTGTTAGATGTAATTATTCCCCACCCTCATGCACATCTCAACAACATTAACCCTCACACGAGAGTTCTTCACTTCAATCATTACTCCCCCTTAAATGATAGACATTCAACACTATCAAATATCAAACATAAGAAAACAAAGAGCCTACATTGAAGTCAATCCACGCTAGAGGATAGCTTTGATATCAGGGAGCCCAAAATATTGGGATTCAAATTGATCTCAATATACTAAGAAAAGAAACACCTATCAAATAAAAAATTAAAGCCAATTACTAAGAATCTTTACTAGTATATCAAAAATTGAACTTTTATTTCATATCTAACCTGAGATTTTTGTTCACTCTCAAATTTCTCTCAGCATAAAATATTTAAAAAAATTTGGTGCCATTCTGTTCATGCTTATTTATCAGCTTAAGAAATTTTTTTTCCCTTACAAACACTTTTAAATAGGATGAAATGAAGAAAAATGATTCATGTAACCGAACCCACTTAGTGGGATTAAGCCTTTGTTGTTGTTGTTGTTGTTGTCGTCGTCGTCGTCGTCATCTAAGCCTGACTAATCTAAACACAGTTTTTCCTCACTTATGGATAAGCCATGCTAAGCAGAGCGCACCTCCAATGCCTCATAAGCTTGCCTTCCATAGCCATCCTCTCCTTCCTCCTCCATCATTTTCACTAGCTTTGTCAACTTAACTTTCAACCAATCAAATTGCTTAACTTAACAATTCGTTAATATTTAAAAGCTTACAACTTATGTTCATTTGGTTTATCATTGGTTAACTTACATAAAAACAGAATCAAATACGCCTGCTATATCTCAACAAGTTCAAAAACTATGGGCAGACCGGTATGAAGGCAAGTGTCCCCACTGACTCGAGTCCACTCTACTTACTTAATCAAGTAAGATCCGGCACACCTATTTGCTCCTCTTTATGTCAAGATTAGGCATCCAGATATCTGTAGAAATTGATGCAACAGGAGTTGGAGCTTAAAGACCGCTTGTGATTGCACATGATTACCGACAAAAACGCAAATTTGTCCTTGGTGTTGTTTCAGCTGCTAGTAAGGTCATTCTCTCCCTTTTTTTTTTCTCAGAGGATTTTTCGATTTTATCTAATTGAAAATATTTTAGCAAACTTAACTTTTCTTATGGTGTTTGTGCCCACTTTAGGTTAAAAAAAATCTAGAATCCAGCTTGACTGCAACCACAAACCCACAAACAATTTTACCATACCAAAAAAAAAAAAAAAACCTTTAAATCGACAAAACAATAAAATTCGGCAGAAAGTAAACAACCATCAATGCTACCAATTGCAATTAGGTCCAAAATCTAATCTGGATACCGAAAGAAACGCGAGATGTAAAAGAACAGAACCTAAGGACGCCCCAGATATTCTGCCCCGCTAGCCAGCGAGCTGTGCCGACAGCATCCTTCGGGTCCGGCTTCGACGGAAGGCGGAGAATCCGAGCACTCACGGCGGCCGGAGATCGGAGAAGAAACGGTAAAAGAAGAAAGAAAGCGCCAAATGTGACGCATGAATAACACGAAGAGGGATATCCCATGGCGACTCGCTGCATCAAGTAGGACGGATGGAGCGACATTAATATAGGATAACGGGCCCGCTTATACAACCCGTAATCCATATCCATTATCTTCCCCTCTCGTCATTGATCGGTTGCGGTTGCTTTCGGAGGGACGAAGCGTGGTGCAGCCGCTACCGATTGAGCTCATTTTTCTCTATATGCAAATTTATTGTGAGGGGATGTTGCTTGCACGATTCTTATATATGTTGATTCACACATTGTACATGGGCATAGTATTAACAACTTGGTCTGGCTTAGGCTAAATGTTATTGGAGATAAGTTTTGAGTACTTAGTTATTTATTAGTTACATCAATATTTCAGTATGTGCAAATCACAAAATTGCAATTGATAGTGCATATTTTCTTTCCAATAAAATCATAGCCTAGAGAATACGTTATGAAGTCATATATGTTTTGCTTAGTAATTGAAATTATCCTATAACTACATTAGGTGCTAAAATAGAAGATGATATTGTAATAAAAAACTTAATTTCTTAAAATATGAGGTTATGTATGGATCATAAGACTTCTCATCATGCTTTAAGTAATATGATAATTTAAAAAAAAGAAGTTTTTTCTCATGTGATTTATCGAGTAATTGAGTAAAAATGAATTTGATCCCCTTATGTTGTACTAACATATTCACAAAATAAGATGTTTTCATATGATTGATTCTATCTTTGATGCGATCTTTGTCCTAATAAAAAATATATTGTCTATTTATATTTAAAACGGAATACTTTTAAAAGACATCCAAAACACATATATTGCATGGCAAAAGAAATCCATTAATTTTAGAAATGTGTACGGTACAATTTTTATAATTTTAAGTTGGACATCTCTTTATCATTGATTTTATGCTAATAAAACATGGGGTCAAAAATAGACTTTCGAACATGAGATTAATCTTCTTAATTCATCTCTATAATTCTCTCATGAACATAATCCTCTTTTTGTCATGAAACATAATCTATACCTGGTAATTTGCTTCCGCAAAATTTGAATATTAAAGATAATGCACAATTCTTCTATGGTTGTTTTCTCAAGCTTTCCTCCAAACATAACTTGAACATAAAAAATTCTCGCTCCTCAAAGCTCAAAGTTATTGAACTTTTCAATATTTGAACTTCATAGGTATATTATAATGGAAATTTTGGTTGCTTTAACTCTTACCTAATGTGATAAACAAGGAAAATATCATAAAGATTAAACATAAACAAAGAGAAAAAGAAACATTAAAAATGATATAGTTCAACTTAACAATGGTTATATCCACAGGAGTGAAGAAATAAATCATCTTATTAAACACAAAAGTCACGAATATGATGTACAAAGTGAAATGACTCTCAATATACCTTGTTGACTTCCAAACATGCCATCACATGATAAAAAGAAGTATAAAAAAATCCTTACAAAAAAACAAATTATCATAAAATTTGTAGCCTTCAGGATGAAAATACATTAATCATAGTCGATATTACTCATTAGTTTGAAATACTATAACTTATGTCAAATAAAGAATTCATATTAAGAGATCTCACATGAAAATCAAAAAAAATTCCATTTTTAAATTTCCTGTGAAATTATTCAACGTAGTATGTCATAGAAAAGATCATGCATTGCTTATAAGTTACATTGAAAAATCTTCTTGTAATAATATTGTACACACATTTAAAGAATAAGATTATGGGTTACTCATTAGATAATAAACTTTTGAGGTCTATTTCATAAAGCTTGTGGGCAAATATGTATCCCAGAATGTCTTAAAAGTTTTTGTTGCCCCATAAGTATCATTGGATTATGGATTACTCATTGCTCGTTTAGAAAAACTTCATGAAGCAATTTAATATTTTATAAGTATGTTTATATGATTTAATTAGCAACAAACATGGATTGAATATCCTTATATACTAGAATAGCTTAGAGCTTTGATTACTTTTTGAGGAATTCGGGTGCAAGGTCCGTAGAACTTAGTTGTACAATTCATAAAATGCACAATAATCAATATCCAATGATTTCCCTAATCGTCCCAATCTTAAAAACTTACCCCTTTATAATAATAAAAAATTATATTGTAAAAATTTTACTTAACATTAATGATAATTGATGTGTGTTAGAAAATTTGTGATCGTAGAATAACAGATTATTGTCTTACCATTATATAAAGATTTAACACATACTTAGATGAAAGAGAACGACTGATAATTATAGCAGAAATTTTTATGTTAAAAATCTAGAAAGTGAAAAACCACGAGGTCTGACCCAGCTGAAGAGTTCTAATATACAAAAATGATTACAGTTGCAACCACTTGTCTTACAGGTGGGAACATATTACTAGATTTCCCAAGTAGCAATGTCGACTGACGGATAAATTTATTGCCTGGAACTAGTGGCGACCAATAGCAATCAGCGGTGTCAGTCGATGATGGTCAACGACGGTTTGCGGTAATCGACAGTGATTGGCGACGGTCAGTGGAGATTAGTGGTGGTCAATGGTTGACGAAGATTTGTGATGATCGGCGGCCGTCAGCAGTGGTTGACGACTGTCGGCGATTAGCGGTGGTCGACAGAGTTTGTTGGTGGTTGATAGCGGTTGATAGTGCTCGATGGTTGCAGGAGTGCTCGACTGCGGTCTGCGGTTGTCGACGGTGGTCTGCGGTGGTCGATAGCAGTCGACGGTGGTCGACGGTGGCAGGAGTGGTGTTGTACTTCAGTTTCTTCTCAAAGCTTCAAGTTTTTTCTTAATTCTCAAGCTCTCCTCCCCTTTTATGAGAGAGATGGAGCATTATTTATAAAGTCTCTGCTGTAATAAATGAGAGAATATGAACAATTTTGATGAGACGACTCAAAGAGCTTCCTTTGATCTTATGACATTTTATAAACATTTGAGTGTCTTATTAACGTCAGAATTAAACGATGTTGAGCTCGACGGATTCCTCTTGTCGAGTCCCTCAATTCAATTATAAACTCGACTGATTCAACAACCATTTGACCTCCTAAATATGTCCGGAAAACTTCTAAATATGGTTTAATGACTTGATCGGGGTTCAATTTGATTCAGATTGGATCAAAGTTGGTAACATTGGGTATGTCTCGTCGAGTCGGTTAGTTTGACTAAAAGTTTGCTAAAATCAGAGCTTCGGATGACTCTTAATAAAAGTTTAATAATGTTTTGTTTAAATTATTATTTAGAAATGCATGTCCTGCCTAGAGATTAATGGAATTTTATTGATAACTTATCAATGATGAAAAGGAGAATAATGGGTAGCAGCGAGAAAGGAGCAAAATTATTGAATGGTGTGCATAGAAGGCTTGAGGAAAAAAAATGTTGCAGGCAGGTCAATTGTCGTTTATCAAGGGCAATCGTAGTGGGGAAGGAGTTCGGTCTGAGTGAGGGGAGCAAGGTCGGCCTTGAGGGTTAGGTTTTGGCGGAATAAAAGAAAGAAAATAAGGAAAATAATGGCGTCACTTCAATTAATTTTTGGGATATTTGGGACAAACCCTTGGTTGTAGGTGCCAATTTAACATTAGTTGACAGTGGCTGATTTTAATACTTATCGCTATGCAAATTATATTGTAGTAAAGCTTTGCTTACCAAAAGCAAAAAAGTTCAACAAAGGGCTTACCAATTGAAGCTCAATATTGACGCACTTAGACCAAATAATGAGTTGCTGGAGAGCAAAGGAAGGTGTTGAATTTGAATTTATTCAGTGAGTCATGCCTAAGTATCGGAGCGGTAGGATGTTTGAGTGAGAAGCGAGGAGAAGGGAGAAAGAAATAAAATAACAGTTATAGATTTGTCATGTACTTGTGAACTAGGGTATTTCCGAACCCTGTGACTTATTTTATATATTGTAAAATAGAGTTTACAAGAGAGAAAAGCGGAGAGATCTCCTTACAGAGTGTGGGTTTAGAGAAAAGAGACAAAAGCCTATAATGTATGGAATGGTTCTCCTATTTATTGATGATAGGAGGATAAAAGATAAAATTACAATGTTATATCTGTTGAAAAGGGCTAGTATGTGGCATTCTGGTTTTTTCGTTGTCGGAATCTATAGCTCACAAGCTCATCGGTCGGCAGAGCTAAGCGTGAGAAGCTGCCGACTGGCTGAGGCGGTCAATCGGCTGAGGTGGCTAGCTGGCTGAGGTGGTCGGTCGACAGATATGGTTGGCTAGTTGAGGCGGATAGCAAGCTGACGTGGTCGGTCCAGGATGACGTGGGAAGCTTTTGAACTTGATTGTTCTATCATGGTGTTCGCTCACTTTAGCTCATTGGCTCGGAGTGACCTTTGGTTTACTTTTGTGACTCTTGTGTTCTTCCGTTCGGCTTTAGACATGTTGGCCTTCACTATTATAGGAACTCATTAAGATCCGCGCAAGCTTTTTTTTTGGACATACAGATGGTAATCCACCCTTTTCATTTAAAATATTCAGTCCAATGTCGCAAATGACATATCACATAAGTTTTAAAAATTTTGGATCTATTCAGACGAACTGCACTTAATCTGCAGCATTTCAACAAAATTCAAGGGAATTTAATCATAAACACATCTACATCGCATATGCAAGGCCATGAATCGAGAGCATTTTGGTCGATATACAAACCTCGCAACCACCAATTCAAGGCGACTTCAATAAAATTCTTAAACCTCTCTCCCTAACAAACTTATCTTTATTAATTTTAAATTAAAAATTGAATTCGAATATTTCCCACACATGTGGCGTATAATGTTCATGAAACAATATCACCAGATTGTGTACAAGAAACTTATAACTTGGATGTAAAATAATATTGTAACACAATACAAATTGACTTATGTAAGAAACTGCAACCGAATAAAACGACATTGAGGGAGAACCCGGGCATGTTATAAAATACTGTTAAAAAAAAATTATACGCACACACCACACATTAATGTTTTTACAAACCTACTTTGGTGTCATAAACTCATGCATGAAAATGTATATTTCATATTAAAAAAACTTGTCATAATAGTATTTTTTATGTATTATTAATGATATGAGAGCTGTGTATGTAAATATAAAATTTCTGATATTAGATATGTAAATTCGTAAGAATTATGTGGTATCTATGTAAAGCCGATAAAAAAAAAGGAAAGAGCTGTAGATGATTAGCAACCAGCTTAAAATCTGAGCCAAAAAGTATGGAAAATGATTGAAAGCTCCACCTACAGGCGCAGC